TGTCCAGAAGATGTTCAAGAAAACACTGTTCAGGAGAAGGGAATCTAAAGTAAGTTCATGAAGCCATTACAAACAAATCCAAGGGAATGAATTAAGTTCAGTTATTTCTGAATTAAACTAGTCCTTTCCACTGTCTGCTTGTCTGCCTGGCCCCACAGCTTTGCTTAGCTACATTACCTCAACCCTCTCAGAAATCCATGGAAACCAAGGAAACATTTGCTCTTGTGGTCCAATAATAATGTGAATGAAAAACCCACAAAAAGGGAATCCAGCACAATTTTACTTTTCTATGAAGTTGGTACAAGAAATAATTCTCCACGAGTCCTCTGAAGTAAGAAGAATTGTTTTGAAATTATTTTATTGTTGGCTTCATCTGAAGTTTTTCAGAAAATAGATTTTTCATTATCACAAGCTTTATTTGAGAAATGAGCTTCTGGTTCAAAAATGCCTTTCACACATAATTGAAATGTCAATTAAAAGCTTTTGAAACATCCTTTGGAGAAATTCACCAGACACTGGAGTTTCCAGGAATTAGATGTACAAAAAACTTTAAAAAAACAACAACATTTAACTACCCAATTGAGAACTGTCAAGGCTGTTCCAAATGAGATAATAATTGCAGTTCTGTGGGGAGGTGAGGTCACACGATCTCTAGTTCATATCTCTGTGTGCGCCTGCTGTTCTTTCACACCTGTATTGGCTCAGGTGAGCATCACTGATCCCAGCATCTGTAGCAGGTGGGAGTCAGGTGTGTGTTTTCTGTCAGCACAGAGGTAGCTTCCATAGGAGAAAGAGGAGGAACAGGAGATGGGTGAACGATGATGCTTGGAAAAGAGAATCTCTGGGGTAGAAATGGCCCACCAGAAAGGAACACAGTTCCTGAGACCTGAGCTGAGCTTTTGGAAGGAGACTGAAGGGCTGAGGCGCGGCTCCAATCCCTGATCTTCCTAAGGTATGAAAACCACACAGAATGTGGCAATTGATGATGGAGCCAAGTGGTATAAAACCTGATTTATATGGTGCTTCAAAGTGTTCATTTACAATCCGTCTGCCATTCAATATGGTGTACCAGTAGCACAAATGCCATTTCTGGAGTTCTACCGTTATCACTGTAAATGTTCTATGCCTGCAGTAATGTGTATAGAGGAACTAATGGAATTATCTAATCACCCGCAGAGACCATGAACATTGGCGTCAGAGGATAAAATGGAATCACTTGTCTCTAATTTGGATGTGATGTGCTTAATGACGGCGGTACATGTGTTGCCACTGAAAATTCATGTCATGTGTTAGGAGATAATGGTGAGAATATTTTCCACCAGCATGAGAAAAAGAGCCTTTAAGAAAATTTTATTGTCCTAATAGAGCATTTCAGATAGCAGGAAATAGTTCAGGACTCCATGACACCAATTGAAATCATGTTTTTCTTGTCATAGTTTCTCTGGTTGAAAAAATACTCTAATGTTATTTCCCAGGTAATTACTCATCTCTCTTCCCCTCAACATATCCAACACAGGAGTTTCTATCTCTCCAATAGCAATGTTGCATATTTGTCTTATGCTTTATGTCTTATGCATATTTTTCTTATGCTTTTCCAAAACCAAGATTAATTATAGTTACTCTTTATTTTTCAGAAACAACCAATATATGATTACACGATCTCTAATGGGAATCAATTTAGTTTTTACCCCCAGACACTGTATTCATGCTCCTTTACCTATGCTTTGAACAACAGCATCCTTTGGTAAAATAATTTCTGTAATGGATGGCCTTGTATTTTACCTGTGTTTTGATTCCTGGTGAAAAATATTTGAATGAGTCTATTACCATGGTAATATTTATCAAAAAATTTCAATTCAGTCATATAACAGTATTCAGGGCATTTTATTAAATTTATATTATTAAAATTATACTAAAATCTGTAAACCTTGATACACTAGTCATACTGCTCCTTGGAATAAATATCAAGAACAAATAGAAAATGATCACGCCTGAACTTATGAAATATATTTCATGTATTACAGGTTTTTGGCTTAGTTGGAGACCTTGAGACAGAGAGAGCTATGAGAGAATAGCACAATAGCAAAAATTCAATGTCACTGCAACCAGGTTCCTCAGGTTCAAATCTTGATTCTACTTCTTCTAGATGAGTCCTTCAACCTCCCTATGGGTAAATCCTCTTTGTCTGACAACGAAGAGTCCTTGTTCCAACAAGAAAAAGTCATGCATACTAAATAATTTAGAATATGAGAGTATTCATAAGAGTGACAAAATACCTTTTTTGTCATGCTCCAAAGAAAACCTGCAAATATTCGGGTATTATTTACAACAGCAACAAGCACAACAGATAGATAAATAGATAAATGGATACTTACGGAATCATCATAGCAATGATTCAGGTATTTCAGATAGTCATAGGCGTCATCGGGAATTTCTCACTCATCATTCATTACATTTGCCTGTACTTTCATGGATTCAAGTCACAGTCCACAGACTTAACTCTCAGAGACCTGACTGTGGCTAATTCCTTGGTGATTCTCTCCAAAGGAGTCCCCCAGACAATTGCAGCATTCGGATGGAAAGACTTCCTCAATGATCGGGAATGCCAAGTTGTTTTATACATTCACCGAGTGGCCAGGGGGGTGTCCATTGGCAGCACCTGCCTGTTGAGTGTCTTCCAAGCCATCACTATCAACCCCAGGAACTCCAGATGGGCATACAGTAAGATAAAAGCCCAAAATTACATTGGTCTCTCCAACAAACTCTTATGGGTACTACAGGTGTTGGTCAATGCCAGTTTCCCTATTTATATGACTGTGAAAAATAGCAACAAAACCATAACAAAGAAAAATAATTTTGGATTATGTTCTGTGCCATGTAATGACAATAATACCTTCACACTCTTTATTGTGTTGATATCCTCCTATGATATTTTGTGTATAGTAATTATGTCCTGGGCCAGTGGCTTCATGCTTTCCATCCTGTACAGACACAAGCAGCAGGTCAGACACATTTATAGCAACAACCTCTCACACAGATCCTCCCCCGAGACCAGAGCTTCCCAAAGCATCCTTCTCCTGGTGAGCACTTTTGTATTCTTTTATGGATTTTCTTCCATTATTTATGTCTATTTGGCTCTTGTGGAAAACTACAGTTCGTGGCTGGTTGATCTGTCTAAATTAATAACTGCGTGTTTCCCAACAATCAGCCCCTTTATTCTCATGAGCAGCAATGCCCACGTGATGAAACTATGTTGTGTTTGTTGTGCAAGGAATGTGCAATTTCCGCCTCTTGTATGAAAAGTGTATTTGTGTATTTTTTACCATGCTCAGTCATTAATGAGCTCATCCCTCAGAATACCTTAACAACAATTTTGGACCCATCACATTGCAGAGAGTATGATGAACTAGACGAACAATAGTTGCAAATCATATTAGCAGTAGTAAATGAAATCTTACGTCCCTGTTATTCAAGCAAATACAGGATTCAATTGTATTGATAGTTGCAGTGGAAAACTTTACTTAGGGCAATCATTAAATTATTAGTTAGTCCTTCAATAATGTGGTGATGGTGGTTGTTGTAAAGTCCCCTTCCACTCAGGACAACTTGAACTTAGCATATGGTGAAATGTTGCCTAGTCTTGCAACAGCTTCACAATTAGTGGTATATTTCAACTCATTGTTATACCCTGTGTGTTAACCCATCTCATGGAATGTGTACCTATTTATAGATTCCCCTCCAACACATACACATAATGAGCTTAATCTCTCCTGGTGATGCAGCACCCAATGTAAATGAGACTAAATGTCAACACTCTTGATTCTAAAGATCTCTTGACTCTACCGTCGCCAAGGCTGGAGAAATCATGTAGAATTACTGGAAGTGTCTTAGAGTGTGTATTGCTAATCTAAGAGGTAAACAGCTTGGACTAACAACTAGACATGGAAACAAGATGACTTTCATAAAATAGGAATCATCTGAGATGAGATTTTGGGAAACTGGTTTCATGGAGTGGGATACAGCCCCATATTACAAGATTGTAACGGAAGTGGCCTGGAGTACATTGGAGGAATAATTAGCATAATGTTATTGAAGGAATTGGAGGTCAGGGTTTCAGTTTTGTCCTTTACACCCTAAGAAGAATGGTGGGCATGTTTTAGATAAGAATGCCCATGCAGAGTGGTTAGCAGGTAATACATTTTCATATGAACTATGGACAAATGAGATGTGGGAGAACAAAGAAAAGCATACTAAGATGTGTACTGAGTTGAGAAAACGATGGTAAGGGAAATGAGCCAGTCATACATATTTTGTGACCCCACTGAGAAGAACTATTTAGAAAAGGTCAATACAGAGAGTAAAGGTTATTCATGATGACCTGGGGTGGATAGGATGGGAAAAGGGGGACTTAGAATTTTCATTATTGTGAGAAAAATCCTTGTCATTTTTGTGATAATGCTGATGCTGACTCAAATACAACTAACAATTATAATATCATCCAGATAGCGGTGGCTCAGGGGGACAATTCTATGTATGAG